ACTTGGAGTATGTGTTAAATTTAAGGAGAGATGTTGTTTCCCTTTTTTCTTCCATGTTGCGTAAAAGCACTTGTAGTTCTGATGAATTTATCATTCTGTCTGCATGAGGTGATATTTTTCAGTGTTCGGAGGCAATGCATGGTTGTTGCTCTTCCTGTTTTTTAATGCCTTTGTTAAAAGTCTCCTCATAATATAGCCAGAAGCTAGCGCTCTGTAAGCAAATGAGTTTTTGTCAATTCAACTTTCTTGGTACTGGATGTTTTCATTGGTAGCAAAACTCAACAAATGAGTTTCTCCTTCCCCCCTCTGCCCTCGCTCCCCCAGTTTGTTCGCTGTTAACCAATAGATCTTCATTAAACAAAGGAATATTTTAGCATTCCAAACCTGGTTCCTGCTTATGCAAACCGTTACTCACATAGGCTTCAATTGGACTGTTTGTAAGTATAAGGACTGCTCAGCTGAGTAACGATGTGCAAAGCCGGGCACTTTGGAGGGTTGGGACTTTTGGAAGGTTGCTTAAATAAAAGCATTTCCGTATATTGAGTGATTTGTAACTGCAAAGCTGCAACCAGAATAATTTTTTTTTTAATCATATTTTATGGTGTTTCTTTATTGTAGAATAGAAGCCATAAATGCACTAATGTTGTTTTTCTACTTCAACTTAATTTTTCATTAAGATTTTCAGTGTTTGATATGTATGAACCGCTGCAGAAAGCAGTCACTATGTACAAGCAAAATTTGCATTCAAGGTAAAGTGAGGTTTTACAGCCCCACTAAGCCATTACTGCTGAAACTGTTGTGGAACTTATGAAGCTGCATGAATGAAGACTTTTTGAGTCGGTGTTTATGGTAGTTTCTCAGGTTTAGTTTTAACTGGATGTTAAATGCACTGTGTTTTATAAATAGTTATTCTCTTTTAGTAACACATTCAGTTCTATGCAGTGTTACATGTCACTTGGCATTTGGTGAATGTGCATGTTTTGAACTGCAAATTTTAAATGTTTTGTCTTTTAATTGTTAAAAAAAAAAAAAATGAATAAACTTTGCCATTAAATGAAAACTCGTAGCTGAAGTGATTGGTTGCAAATGCTAGGGATTGCTTTCAAAGAAGAAAACACATATGCCATTATTCTTGGTTTTAATTTTTCTAAAATAGGACATTTTAGAAATAGCATTATGTATCAGAGACTACTTATGTTACTTTGGTAAACCAAAAAGTAAAATAGAAAAATGTTTTGATTTTTTTATAGTTATTTTCAAATGTCTTGTTCAGTTCTCGTGAAGTCCAGAGAGGCGTTAAAGCAAACAAGCAAAAAAGGAGTATGGGAGCCTGCAATTTAGTGATTTGCAGCAGAGCCCTAAGATACTTCGGGTGGTGATGCTGTATTTTGAAAGAGAATTATGCAGTACAAAAGTGGTAGAGTGGGAATAAGGGAACGTCATCTCATTTTTCAGATGACAGTGATGGACACTGTATCCCATGGCTACAATAGTAGCAGATACTTCTTTTCCCTAACAGTGCCTACCCACTCAATAAATACCAATATAGCCAACCCTAAATTGTGTTTTGGTTGTAGATAGATGACTGATTCTTTTTATACACTAGGCAATTAATTTCTTGTAGATTTTGTGTTCCGAGGCTCAATAAAGGATGCATCTTTTAAGCTGTTTCATGATGCCAGTCTTAAATGCTGGAGCTGGCTTAAGGAGATTCCACCTCATGGTATGTCAACTTCTCTACTATGCTGACAGTCATAAAGCCATTAAAATTAATCAGGTTATAATCCTTATAATGATACAGCTACCCTTTCAAATCCCTACTCTCTTTTCTTATGGAAAATGTTAGTTGTAAGCAAAATCATTTCACCAACCTGACTTGCACTACAGTCCCCTGAATTCGCAAGTTGGAGAGAATGAAAAGAGAAAGGCATTTCTTTCTAGCTCCATGAGTGAAGACAGTGTATTGTGGAATTGCAGCCTCAATGTAATTGCAAATCAAAAACTTTGTATGAACATTGCAGAGCAGCAGCCCCCTCAAAAGCAGGTCTGTTCTGCGTCATTCTGTTTAGCCTGCACAACACATCACAATACACGGAAAAACAGTGCCAAGGATTGATTCCGTATCTTTACTGTCAAGCTTTAATAGCAGCAATGAAATCATTTTTAAATTGTCATATCATCTTATTAAATTCCTGGGGGACTAGTGTTACAAACAGTCTGTTAGTTTACCTAGCCATTTTTGCTATACTGCTTACCTAGCTTCAGATAAATCCTTCAGAAATTCCTGCCAGCACACGTCATGTTTTCCTTGGCACCAAAGGGTTTTGATACATTTTGGAGATATGTGGTTAAGAAACCCTTAGTATAGGAAAACAAAATGAAGGGCTGATCTAATTCATGTCACTATTCATTATTCTTTGCCCATAGAAGGTGTGGTTTTTATACATGCAATTACCAGCTAATCGCAATCAAAGCACTTTGTGCATAATGTGTGTGAATGACAATAATCAGTTTCCTGAGTGTGATTCTTCTTTCATTTTGATATATCTTAGATTGCTGTCACTCTAGTAGAATATGAAATAGCTCCACGATTACAAATGAAATAATTAAACCTGCTCTGTTTAAAAAAAAAAAAAAAAAAGGCATAGCAGTTCAGCGAGTACTGTATAAATGTTCTTTCCAGTTCAAGCATATATGAACCCTTCAAACTGTTTCATTAGTCATTAAAATTGTGTATCAGAATGTCATTTGTGTTCTGTCTGAAAGTTTTTTAAAAATATTTATTTTTTTCTGTAAATCATAGGAGCATCCATGCCATAAGGTCCTTTTTATTAGGAAGGAAGTTCAGACTTTAAGCTGGAGCCTAAATCCGTGCTGGAAACGATGAGCCTGGGCAACGACCATTTCAGTCTTGGGTCTGTATTCTTGCCAATTCCTTTCCTGTCCCTTCAGCTATAAGTCACTGTCACTAGCTCCATTAACAGTAATTTACAATTCTTCAAGGCCAATCTATTTGCACAGCACAATCCCCACCTCACCTGGCATACAGGTGATCCAGTACAGCTATTTCAACTTCAGCTGATCGCTCCCACAGTCTCAACCCCCTGTCTGCAAGATTTGTTGCACTCTGGCCACCAATCTGTAAAGTCCTTAGCACTCCATAAACTTTTAAGTCTGGTTTGGAGGAATTATTCCTGTGTGTCAAGTTTTTCAAGCGTTTTTATGAGGTCAAAGACATTATGCGGCATGAGAGGAGGAAGGGAGGTAAGTAGCTCAGACAGGTCTTTGCTGCTAGGTTGAATTCCACAACACACAGCAAACTTTACAGCCTTTACTTGGGCTGAATAATCCCTAAAATTTGTAAGACTGAATTCAAGTGCAGCAAAAATCATTCCCTATGTTAATACATTAAGAAATTTGACTTTTTTAGAGCCTGCTGCAACTATTATGAAACCTTGCATCTTTAGTGTACGCTAATAAACTGTAGTAGTCAATGACTGTCAAACTCATCATTTCTCAGTGTGTACAGTGCATCTTTGAGGAAAACACTGAATTTCAGCTATCCATTACCCATGTCAATGGTACTGATGACAAATTAGTGCTTAAAGGGAAATAAAATTGTTCCTTCCTAGCCAAAATCGATCAAGTTTATGCTTCCAGCTGTAGTGTCTGTTTTGCCTTGATTTACTAGATGAAAAATATTTCCACTAAGGATTTATTATACATTTGTAAACTATACTTTAATTAGCATAGTTTAATATCTATTTCTGCTGTGTATGTGAATGACCAGTATATCACGCAGGATGATTCCAAACAACAGAGATGACACCTACTGCAATATTGGATTCCAGGGGTAAGTTTTCCAGAAAGGTATTTCTTGAACAGACCCATAGTACCTCAAATGCACAGTGGAACCAGAACAGATCCCTACAAAACATCTAAAAAGATGGGCAAAACTTTACCTGCTCCCTTTCTTGAAGATTGCTTCTAAAAAGAATGGCAAGCACTTTTCAAGTAGTTTGTCAAGTATCTGACAGCTACTTACAGATTATTATTATGTTGTTATTATATGTCATAAAACATATACACTATTGTGTATTGTTGTTTTAGTTTACAATTAGCAGTTACAATAAACAAGTCAAAACCTATTACTTAAAGCATCATTATATGGAAATTAAGTTGTCTTTTCCTTAGCATCTCCAGCAATAATGTCTATTGGATTGTAACATTAATTATGCAATAAAAAACACAATCGTTTTTTTCAAAATGTTTTTCCATAAATGGTAAGATACAGATTGCTACATATTTGCTAAGAAAAAAGAAATTACTCTTAAGAACTAATTTTTTCTAAAATACAAAGTGAAATATGTCATAATTCAGACTAGAAGTGCTATAATTTTAATACTCATTGATATGCTAATACTTGTAAAATAGGCCAACTATAACATACTTCAATAAATCCTATACGCAGGGTGTTTGGGGCTCATAAAATAGGAAAATTGATCCTCTGATATCACAGAATCTGCCACACAAAATGACTGCATTTATTCACAACAATAAGTCTAAAGGGAAGCCCTTTAATGACTGCATGTTTTTCTTGTGTATTTTCCATTTGCTTGCTGCATGTGTTTGTTTTAGATGCCTTTTTTCTTCTTCCATTTGGTCTGTTGGCTTATTTGGATGAAGGAATGTAGAAGGGCAAACAAAATTTGTTCCTACGGCAGGATGTTTTAGATTAAAATTCCCAACTAATTAGTGTGGTTTTAACCACATTAAGTTTCAAGTTACATATAAAAAGATTATTAATTAATTTATTAGCTAGCTATATAGAGAAATTTACATTATATTAAATCCGCACAGCAGGTGCACAGTTAAAGATGTAAATCATTTACAAAAGCAAAATTTACTGTTTTTAACAGGAAACAATGCAGTATAGTTACACCAGAAAAGTAAAAATTTGCTCATTGAACAGCATCTCCACAAAGACATACAGGTGACACTCGATTCCAACCACAGTTTATTGATACATTTTTTTGATGTGACTACTAAATAATTAGTGTTGTCAATGTCGTAAATACATTTTAAATTACAAGCCTGTCTTTACATTTTATACATGGCTAATTTTACAAATAGGACTTTAAGATCAGTTTGTCCAGCTTAGACGTGTTGCTGAGCAAGAGGCCAACAATAAATACTTCCTTCTGAAGAAGGCTTCAATACAATGCCAATTTTAGAATTTTATGCTGAGAAGTTATTAGCAATATTATTGAATACATTCTGCCTTTCTCATACATAATTATTCGGCTGCTTGGGATTGGCATGTTTTCAACTAGCCTAATTCATACTATTTTTATCTTAGTTAAAGTTAACTAATACAAATATGCAGTGTAAGTTCAGGTATATTATCTGTATTTAAAAAATCCCACGCGCTTCCGTATCTATAGTAAAATACCTCCTCTTACTTTCATTGCTCGTGGAAGTGGAAGCAGTCAGCTGTTTCAGGATCCACAAACTCTTCGGTTTAGTACATGTTACTTCTCTGTTACTTCTCAGCCTGACTGCTGCTTTATAGCACTATTCTGATTATTGGGTCCGTGGAATACAGCCGGTTTGTTAACTAGGTTAATATCATTTAGGGTTAAAGCATCATTTATAGTTCCATGAAATGAGTAACTTTATCCCGATTTTTTTTCCATTTGTCTCTGAATATATTCTGCACGCATTAGACTGAACTATCAGAGCAGTTGAACTAAGGCTGGAATATTTTATAATTCGTCACTGCGATCCAAGCTCAGGAAAGTACCGAAGGTTGGGTTTCTGAAATCTTGCACTTTTCAAGGGCAACTCACCCACGGGAATGGTTTTAACTTCTGGCATCGCAGAGCACGTCAGCATATGACACCCATGGCAGAAGTCCTTGCGCTCCCTAGAGCTGCGTTACCCCATGGCGACTCCTTTCAGCTCTGGCCGAAATCAGAGCAGCTCTTCCCAGCTAGGGCAGGCTCTGGCTGCAGCGGGTACCCAAAGTATGGCGGCGACACCAGAAATCCCGGCGGCTGGTTCAGGTGGGTGGTGTGGGCTGGCTGGAAGCAGCCAGATGTGTAAGGCGGTGGTGGCGATGCCACGAGGCAGCCCGGCTCTGCCCGGGCGAAGGAGAACCTGCGAACCGACCCGCTGGCCGAACTGGAACTGGTGGCTGTGCTCGACTGCCTCGACGGCGTCCTGAAGCTGGTTGAGGCCAGGATCATGGGAAGCGTCTCGGTCTGGTAGCTCCGGAGAGAGAAGCGTATTGGCTGAGAAGGCTGCTTAGGTCTTAAACAGGTGCAGCAATAAACCGCCACCAGAGAGCCCACGATAATGAAGGCGATAAATATTGATCCGACTATGAGGAACGGCACGTAGATGGGCTCTGGGAGAAGAAAGAAGAGGAAAAGCCATGCGTGTTAGCCTGTGGAAATAACCCTGCTCTTACTTAGAAATAAGAGCTTACGGAGCCCCACATCATTGGCTCAGTCCCGCTAGACACCGAGCCTCGCAGAGCTCCTGACCGCTCTCATTAGAACTAAATTAAAGTTTATACCCTAGGGCCACGAGTCAGAAGTTCTCTCTGTTGACGGTGTTAGCAGTTACCGACAGTAGACTCCGTTTGCCACACGGCTATTAAGGTTTCACAGACTCCCACCCCTCTCCCACCCCCCTCAGACCCCAAAATTGGGGCTGGCGGTGTAGCTGCCTGTGCTAACCAGGCTCGGGTGCCCCAGCTGCTGTTACACGCCGTGAGGTGGCCACAGGCGTGGTCCCACGCTGGACCCGTCGAGGCACAGCCTCGGGCACCCGGAGGGGGCCGCTCCCGGAGCCCCCCCGGCCCCACCGCACCTGGAGCCTCCGGACCGGGCCGGGCCGGGCCAGGTTGCCCCCGGGGGGTCCGTCCCCAGCCCGCCCCGAGCCCCTCGGTGCGGGCACTCACGGGCGGTGACTCCCGGGTCCGGGGTCTGCCGGTCGTTGGTGCAGCCGCCCTGCTCCAGGCGCGCCTCGGCGGCGGCGCAGCAGTAGCGCAGCGCGCAGGAGCCGCAGCAGATGGTGGCGGCCGCCGTGTCGAAGCCCTCGGGGCACTGGAAACCCTCGTGGTAGCCGCCCTGCCCGTCCACCCAGCCGTGGCAGTACTCCCCGCCGCCGGGCTGCCCGCCGCCGCCGCCGCCCAGCAGCCCCAGCAGGAGGCAGCGCAGCGGCAGCAGCACCAGCAGCCGCCGCCGCCGCCCCGCCATCGCCCCACCGCCGCCGCCGCCGCCGCCGGGGCAGGCAGGGGGCGGCCCCGGGTGCGGAGCCGAGCCCCGGCCGGGAAGGGGGGCAGCCCCCCTCCGTGCCGACCCCGCCGCCGCCCCGCGGGCGGAGCCGCCCCCCGAGCTGCCCCAGCCCCGCACTCACCTGCCGCCCGCCGCCCGCCGCCCGGCTTTCCCCTCTGCTGCCCCCGCCCCGGCCGCTGCCGTCGGGCCCGGGCCGCTCCGTGCCCCCCCCTCCCCGAGCAGCTCCGGGGCTGCGGGGCCGGGCGGCGGCGAGCCCCGACGGGGCGGCCGCGGGGGCTGGCCCCACGCTGCGCCCCCCGCAGCGCCCAAACGCGGGGCCGGCCGCGCCAGGAGCGCGTTAAACATCGCTGAAAGCTCGTTTGGAAAGAAAATTCACAAGCCGAACATATTATTTATTGCTAGGACTCCGCTTTTTAACTCGTTCCCTCGATGCTTTTTCAGTGCAAACGCGTACCCGCGTGAGATTTACAGCCTCTTCTAGGCCTGTCACCTTTCTTTTCCAGACGGAGAGGGAGAGTGTGGGGCAAGGGAGGAGGGACGCATCTGTTCGTAGGATCGTCTGATCCTTTTCGGCTGGAGGAGTAACGGCAAGTCACCAAGCACCGGGAAAACCACAAAAGGAACTGCTTATTCATTTATTCTAGGGGAAAAATAATATATTTTAAATGAACTGAGCAGATCTGGATTTCTGGTTCAGGCAGAGAAACATTTCTCTAAATGATGCGTCCCTTGTGTGCTATCCAAGAGGCGCTCCTGCTTTCACAGCAGAAGTGCTTACGAAACCAGCATCACGTTAAAGTTGGGCTGGAGCAATGACTGAATTTTTACTGCGTCTCAAACCTCCTGCCATCGCTTACTGCTGGGGTATGAATATGTATACCCGAGGCTGACCGCTTGTCACCCATTTTGAATGCCCGTGTCACTAATTTCAAAAGTTGGCAGGTTCGGTGAAACAAAAGGAACAAAGTGTGCTGTGTACCAGCAATAAAACTCTGTGCGCTGAGAACCATCTATCAAGACCTTAGACTTCTGGCCAACCCCAAATACAGTCCACAAGCACAATATTTGTATTTGTTTTTGTTTTAACTAGACTATTCTGTCTTTTTTTTTTTCTCTGACCTTTTTTTTTCCCCAATTTTGATTTCTTTAAACATGACCAGTACTACTGGATAGGAAAAGCAAACAGAAAATTGTATAAATGCAAAATATTTTTCATGGCTAGTTAGCAGGTGTAGGCACAGAAATAACAAAACTGGATATTAAAAAAAACAGATTCCTAACAGAAAGATGTGATATTCTGTCCCATTCTGCATTTTCATTTTGAAATGATGATGTGAATTAAACTTGTACCAGCTGTCCCGACTCTGACTTCCCAGTTTTTACAGGCTGATGTTAAATATTAATAGACTTTTGCATTTACTTCGCTGTGGTTTCAGAGCAAACACAGCCTCCACGGGATGTTTGAAAATGTATGGCATTTAGAGGCTTAATCCGGCTTCCAGGAAGGGCAGAAGGAACCTCGCTGTTGACCAGGACGAGACTTGGAGCAGGAGCTCAGCGAGGGCTGCACGGTGCCTTCACCCGTGCTCTGCTGTGCTGTAGGTCTGCAGACAACAGGTCCGTCCTGTTGGATTCCTGGAAAAAGTCACCTTTGGTAGGAATCACTTCAGTAACTGTGTCCCAGTTCATACAGGAGTTGATCCTGCTAATTAATTCACCAGCTTACAAAACACGGAGGTCTGAAAAAAAATCATTCCAACAGACATATATTAGATATTTAGCTGTTTCACTGCGGGAATGGAAGAGAGATTTTGCAGTGGGGGGAGCTGGAGGGGGATACACTCCTAATCCACAGCCATCAGCAAGCCTCTGACCTGGTTTTATGCTCCTGTGTTACACCTCCTGTGCTTGGATGGTTAACAAAATGTTATCAGTCAGTCTTTGTGCCCCTTTGGACAGAGGCTACTCTCTGCTCCCCTCTGGTGTAACCTGCAGGCAGCTCTATCAAATCTGAGCAATTTATTTGAATCCCAAATTGCCCCATCTTGCAAGAAAAACCCTGTAAGGGCTCAAGTATTTGCTCAAATGTGCATATGTGGTTGGTTTATATTTGTGGGAATAAATGGCATTTCACTCACTTGAGTGGTTTATCACACTTGTGCCAAATAAAAATCAGAGGCAGGTTTTGGTACTGCTCTTGCACACACTGCGAACTCTGAATGTTTGAAGATACATGCACAGTTTTCCAGAGGACTGACTTCTCTGGGCTTATTTTTTCCCTTTCTCTGAAATACTGATGCTGCTGACAGAACGTCATGCAATGCTTGGCGCAGGTGAACTGAGTTGTTCTGACCTGGAAAGGCAAAATGTTTGATCTGCTTGCCTTTTGTAAAGGTTGTATCATCTGTGCAATCCCATACTTAAAGAATTTCAGTTGCTAGCATATTTCTTCCTGTCTATTTATATTATTGGTTTTAAACAAACAATTAAGAATACAGGGAAAAAGTCATCCAGACTGCTGGTGAGCATTCTTTACCTGCAGTTTGAGAACATCATGTTGCTACAAGTACCTCGTTTAGGCTGCATTTTGTTGGGTAACATTCTTGCAAAGTACTCACAGTGATTTTGCTTATTTATCCTTAGCTGAAGCCTTCCAGCTTCCAGGTAATGTGCCCTCATCTGTTTTGAATGAAAAATACTGATATTAAATGCCCATATACCTATTGCTCTGATTACTGTTGTTGTTTATAAGGCTGAGTATTAAAACTAATAGAGGAGAGATTAGTCATATAAAAGGCAGAAGAGATAATTCTGTTGGTAGTTTAAGATATTATTATCCATCAGGCTTTTCTCACTGTCCCCACAGCAAACCCATGGGGAGAACTCATTATAGCAACGCTTTGGTGCAAGATCAAACAATTTTTCTTAAATTACTTCTGAAATCACCGTATCCATGCCTGCAGTAATTATCTCACTTCTGCCAAATTGATGGCTTGTAAAAAGAGGTATTAAAAACTCCTTAGTCAGATTCATCTTTCCTACTAATAATTTCACTACTCTTGGTTTTCTGGGTTTGGGCTTTTTTATTATTATTATTTTCCCACTGTGATAGTTCTGCGGTTCCTGCAGAGTGTAAAACAAGACAGTGAAGCTGTAGCAGGAGAGACTTATTGTCATTTCTTATTGCCATTTCAGGTGGGCCATACCACAGGCATAAAGCCCTGTCAATTTGGTCTGGCTGCAAGAGACCAGCTAGAGACAGCATCATCCAACTCTCACAAATACATGTAAGTGCACACTTCTATATTGGCTAGGATGAGGATAGGTTTGGCTCATGTCTTGCTTGATGTAATCATCAGGACAGGGCATTTAGCTCATCAGCAAACCCATTCAGAGCCTTGAAACACACAGGATGTGTCTTGGGCAGTTTAATTGAGGGAAACGTGCTTTTCTTTCTTTTGCCTCGCTTCTGGTTCAGTGTATGAGTCGTATCCTCACATATCAAAGAGGGAGGGATCACTCTGGGCTGTGTGGGTTGGGAGCTGCAGGCTCTTGCACTTTGCAGTTTATGACTTATATCTGACTAGCAAGAAATTCGGGATGCAATGTGACCACTTGCACAGAACTAACCCACTGGGAAAGGCAGTTAGAGCTTTTGGAGGAAAATGTGGAAGTCAGGCTACCTCAGCCTAATGGCTGTCCAGGTAGATAAGATTAATCAGGATATAAATACCTCAGGGCTCACTCAATAATCAGGCTGCTGGGTTAGTGGGATATAGGTCCATACACACTCATGGCTCAGCACTGCTCCCTCACCTGGCACTGCAGCACTGCTGGCAGACGGGTTGTGTTCAGACCATCAGGTTCAGCATCATTATTCTCTTTCTCTGGCATCAAGAGCAGAAGCTGTCCTCAAGACATCAATGTGTCCATTGGTGTTCAAAGGACATATTATCCCAGACCCCCATCTATCCCTTGGGAGGTCCCTTTTAGGAAAAGATTTGCTTAAATACAGCAACTTCTGTGCACTGGCTGTGTCTCCTCTTTACAACCACAGTGCTGCCTGCTGCTCTCTGCTTCAGCATCCAGATGCACACAGAGCTGTTAGGGGCACAGGAGTAAGGCCAGATGTCTGGAAGAGATAGAAACCGGTGACCTTATGGGGCATGCAATTACCCTTCTTTCACTCCAGCTACTGCTAAAAAATAGCCCATTTTATGGCTACCAAGCAAAGTGCAACACAAACTCACAGCAATGCTGAAATTTATTCAATCTATTATTCTCTTCTATCGACAAGCACTGTGATCTCTTCTCCAGGTGTTCTGAAGAGGTGTTTAATTTGCCATTAGACCTGAAGTTCCTGTGCTGTTAAACTCAGAAACAAATTCTCCAAGTGACATTTCTCAATTCTGAAATATATATGTATATATGTAATTACTCTGATCATTAGTACAGTGAGAACCAAATAAAATAAAACATAAATAGAATTAAAATTAAAAAAAAAAAAAACAATAATAATAAAGAAAAGGTCAAAATGGAAATGTAGAATTTTTTAATATTTCTGACAGCTATTTTCAAAGCTTTGAATGTGGAGAAATACATTGAGAACTGAAAAAGACTGAAAAATGGCCACATTTTGACCACTGATTTAGTAGAAAAAATGTTTTATCAGCTACAGTTTGGCACATAGCTCCTCCTCTGTAACTTGCAGTGAAAGAATGAGTTGTTGCTTGTAAATAACTATGTTTTCTAACAACTTTCATAACTGTAACCATTTTCAAGCACTACCAAGTTTACCAGCTAGAGGGGGAAAGCTCAACATGCTATTGCCTTGCAATTTCCTAATCCCCTGAAGAGAAGACTTCGTGCTGCAATCATATTAATGAACAGTGCTACAGAAAGGGCAGAGAAGAGCGATAACATCAGCCAGACCTGCTTCACTCTGCAGCAGACTGTGTGCTTCTTTTTCTTTACAACCCCGAAAATCACTCACGCGCGCACACGCACACACA